TCTTTCTCTTTCTCTTTCTCTCTTCCCTTCCTCGGCTCTTTTCTCTGGCTTTTCTCTTTCTATTTCGTGACGTAGACCGCCCTTTCACCGTTCTAGGACGTCTCTTCTATCGGGCTTAGCCTGGGCAGCGTAATTAAGCCCCGATTGAAAATTAATCATCGCGTATCGATTTCGTACGTCGATGCGAATCGCGAAAAAAAGAAAAAAAAAAGAAAGAAAAAACAAGAAAGATACGCGAGGAATTATGAAGGAAAAAAGGAATGAAGGAGGATGGATAAAAGCGCCGCCGGTATGGTGGTTATTTTATCCATGGTAATGTTGGCAGAAGCTGCTACGTTGAATCGAAGGGGTCCCTTTGATGTTTCAAGTTCTAACGCAATCGATCGTTTCTCTCTCTCTCTCTCTCTCTCTCCCCCTCTTTCTCTTTTTCTCTCTCTCCCTTTCTCTCTTTCTCTCTTTCCATGGAATATTCAAGCTTCTTATGGCAATTATGTTTCGTGTAAGGATTATTTTCTTTCTTGTTTCGGGTAATTATTATCGTAAGTCGATCTTTGGAATAAAAAAATTTAATAAAAATTTAAGGGCAAAGGAAAAGTTAGACTGACAAAGGACATTGCCGATAATTTTTATCTTATATCGTTTCTATTTAGTGGGATGAAAGTATGAGAGAATTAAACGGGAACCCCGAAGTAACGACAGTATTTTTCACGAAGGAAAACGTTTTATCGCGGAAATAAAAACGACATAAAGACGACGATAGTACAGTAGGATCCACTGATCCTTATTTCGTTTCTAAATGAAGTCGAGGCTTTACGAGGAGAAAGAATTAAAGTCTCGTTTTCGTCGGCAGTCTTTCTCCGTAGAACGATTTTCTTGGCTCAGACAGGAAAGCCAGTCAGCCAGCCAGCCAGCCAACCAGACATCTAGCAAGCAAGCAAGTAAGCAAGCAAGCAAGCAAACCAGCCAGCCAGTCAGTCAGCCAGCCAACCAACCAACCAACCAACCAACCAACCAACCAACCAACCAGCCAGCCAGCCAGCCAGCCATGTCCTTCCATCCTCATCCTCACGAAATCCCAATAATCCACGATGAGACACAGATTGAGTCCCAGGACGGGTAGAAAAAAGCAAGTAGTAAGAGTATCGCAAGTAGAAAGAAGAGCCACGGGATAGAAAGAGATAGAGAGAGAGAGAGAGAGAGAGAGAAAGAGAAAACGAAGAGGCGGCAAGACCATAGGGAGAAGAAAATTGAAATCCTTCCGGGACGGAGGATGATAAAATTGCGGATGGGCAGGTGTTACCGTAATCCGGATCGAGAAGAACGATGGACCATCCAAGAACGAAACGTCCTGTCTCTGCACCCACTATATATCCTATGTGTATATATATACTACGTACATACGTATTCTACTTACGTTCGAACACATTTTCGTCTCTCTCTCTCTCTCTCTCTCTCTTATTTTTCGAGTTTCAGGAATCGTCGTGGATTAAAGAACGTTTCTACTTCTTATCGCGTGAAAGGAAGAAAAAAATAAAAAGGCAAAATATCGTCCGATCTTCTCCATCATCTTATTCTATATATTTACGTAATTACGTACTACGTACATAATTACGTATATGTATACAGGTATATATATATATTATTTTACGTAAAAATATTATCGAAGAGATTGATTTTTTTCCGCTTTACCGATCGTCGAGGTCCAATTTAAATCGACTTCGTTATCGTACCTGCCGTAATGATTTCATTAAAGCAAATCGAAACTTGTAATCAATGTAACTAATATTATTATAAATTATATCTCGAGGTGACTGAAATCAATGGGGTATTAACTTAAGAACACGATTTGCATAATTTTTATTTCGCTCATTAGACGCGAACATTTGTAGTTATACGGCATTCCAATCTAAAGTTATCATTTACCAGTTCATTTATATACGCCACTGGTATATCTCGATTCATTCAAGTTGTGATTCTCAGGAAGGATTGGGAAGGGAAGGAAAAATGTAAGAAGAAAAAAAGAAAAAGGAAGAAACGATAAAAAAAAAAAAAAATAAAAAGAAAAAGAAAAAAATAAAAAAAAATATAAAAAAATGAAAATGGAGGGGGAGAGGGGTAATAAAAAAAAAAAAAAAAAAAGAAAAGGAAAAGGAAGGGAAGACGATACGGACTTGGACCGCTAACGGGCCACGATTATTTTAATCCAGCTGCGAAAGAGGAGAAAACGGCGGGAGCAGGACTCGTAATTTGTTTCGAGATCGTATCTTCAAAGTGGCTCTTCGTCCTCGTCGATGGAAGAGGGAATGAGATGACTCGAGAGTGAGTTGGAGAAAAAGAAAAAGAGAGAGAGAGAGAGAGAGAGAGGGAGAAAGAGAGAAAGAGTCGCGGAAACACCGCTCGACAGAAAGGACGAAAAAGGGAAGAGGAGGAGGAAGAGGAGGAGGAGACCTAGGACCATCTCAATCTGTCCACTCCTCGTAATCACCGACGAAAGGACGAGCCAGGATTGGTGATTCCCCTTGTCTTCGCGTCTATCTCGATTTCCTTTTTTCCCCCCTTTTTCCCTATCCCTTTTTCCCTTCCTTTCTCTCTCTCTCTCTCTCTTTCTCTTTTTACTCTTCTATCTCCACCGCTCCAACATAAGATAGTCCTATCTTCTTTTGTTTCCCTTTAATTTCTTTTTTGTTTTTTCTTCTTTTCCTCTCTCCCTTTTTTTTCGCTAAGTCTTTTCCCTTTTTACCTTTCTTAAGAAGTATCACGTTGTACTTGACGATAGCGCACTGACTTTCGACTCATCGAAAGAAATACCTCGCGAGTAGAAAAGGATTCGTTAATGTAAACGATTAAGCCGATTGAGTGAGGGATTCATTGGTAACTGAATGAGAAAGGTAGAAAACGGATACCCGGAGAGAGAGAGAGAAAGAGAGAGAGACATTGATTCCGATCAAGTAAAAACGAAAAGCTTAGGATCTTCTTGAGTCTCTCTCTCTCTTTCTCTCTCTTTCTTTCTTTTTCTCTCCTTCATCGGAATGGTAGAGATTCTGTGTTCCCAATAGAAAGAAGAAAGAGTGGGAGGGAGTGAGGGAAGTTGGTAGAAAGAAAGATCTCCGGATCAGAATCACGATCGTTCCTGTATCGTATATCGCGACGTATCGCATCGAAGGATCGGTGTAAGCCGGTAGCAGTCGGTTTTCACGGCATGGTCTTGGAAACGAAGAGGAAGAGGTAGAGAGAGTGAAAGAGAGAGAGAGAGAGAGAGAGAGAGAGAGAGCAACGGCAACTGCAACTGCAACAGCAACAGCAACGGCACACTCGATGCGCACAATTAATATCGAGCCGTATCGTCCGATCTCTCATTATTACCCGGTGGCTTGGCAAGCGTGTGGGTGTAGTCACTCCCGTAGACGAACACGCACGAGTAGTACGTACGAATACGCGCGGATACCGGCTACCGTACACCCCGGGACACCAGAGTCGGCCATGTATCACCTTAACGAGCCGGGCATCGCGTGCCGATCTGTATTAAGGATTTATAATCCCCCGGACCCCGGAGAACTCCTAATGTCTGACCGACCAGCAGAGATATTTGCTTCTCTCCGATCCTTCGGTTCTACCTCGGTGTCCATTCTGTCTCTCTTTCTTTCTCTTTCTCTCTCTCTCTCTCTCTCTCTCTCTCTCTTTTCTCTCTCCTCCTTCCCTTACATCTTTTTCTCTCTTTCGTGGAAGAGAAAAGAACAGAACAGGTGGGCACACCCACGATGAATTTTTGACAGTCGACGATCCGGCAAGCAACGTTCGAAAGGTTCAAAGGACGTGTACTTAACAATCATCCCGATAAATTGAGAATTATTCGAAACATGAAAAAAGACGAAACATTCGAAAACCCTCACATTCGTATCACAATCCTAAGAAGATATAAAGTCAAATTCTATATAATGTTTAAGAGAGAGAGAAAAAAAAAGTCGATGAAGATAAGAGAGATAGTGTACTATTTATGTATGTGGAACGTAAGAACCAGATTATCATGGAGAATCTGGGGGTAAAAGAAAAAAAGAAAAAAAAAGAAAAAAAAAGAAAGAGAAAAAAAAAGGAGTGAAAAGACAGACGAGTTAGGTATTCGTCGTAGGGTCGCATTCCAGGTTAAACACATATTAATTAGACGACGTAAAGGCAGGAAGACATAACTCCTGTTACGAAGGATGGGTCCAAAGCTGTCGGCTCGCGCGAGATCGTGCCGCGCTTTCCGAGTGTCGTGTTACGTCTCTCGGAGTCGATGGGCTCGATTCGAGTCCTCCTTTCGAGAGAAGAAGGGCCCGTTTCCACTTCCCTTCGTCCTTTTCTCTCTCTCTCTCTCTCTCTCTCTCTCTCTCTCTCTCTCTCTTTCTCTCTTGACAACGCGCGCGCGGGAGCAAGCTTCTGAGAGGAAGGAGCCGCGGGTGGCCCTTGCCTCTCTCTCTCTCTCTCTCTCTCCTTCTCTCTCTCTCTTACTTTCTCGCAAGCAACAACGTACGTGGGCTCGGAAGAAGATACCGAGCACGACGCTACCGTCGCATTAATAACACTGGTAGCCGCTCATATGTTAAACGTCCACCGACGGTGGCCGTTTCTACCAGGGAAAGAGAGAGAGAGAGAGAGAGAGTACCTACCACTTTCCTCGCTAAGGACAGAGGGCCTACCTACAGCAATGTACTTCTTCCTGATGACGCGCTACCGCTAACCACCATTGCGAATATCCCTCACTTTGTCCCTTTCTTAAAGAAATTTTTTTTCTTCTCACGAAATGAGACCATATGAGTAAACTCTTTTTTATCTTTAAAGATAAAGTCATAGAATACGTTTAATAATCATTTTCCCTTATTATATAATTATTTATTCATTCGTGCCTAAATATCATTGTTCATTAATAATTTCCCAATTTCTAAATTTATAATATATTTCTCTTCGTTCATTGTTATTCGTAAATTAATCGGATATTTTGTTTGTTCTTTTCTTTGTTACAGGTATCAATGCCCGGAGGAAACATACAGGATGCCCGTGGACTATTATAGTGCCAGATCGACTTCGTCTAGGAGATACTTCGTTAACGATTAAGATAATTTCGACGAGTATTAGGAAGATGGAAGTGGTGTGGGTGGTGTGGGTGCGTGCGTGTGTGTGCGTGTGCGTGTGCGTGCATTTGACGAAACAAACGATATGATTAACGTATATACGATGTATAACGTAACTCGGGTGATTCGGTTTAATAGATTATATATTAAACGATGTAAATATCGGTGTGCAATAAGTCGATACTTCCTCGTTTATGATAGGCGAGAAAGTCCTTGTTATTATCACCGTTACGGTTAGCATTACGAACCATTATCGTTACGGAGCATCGCTTATCATTATCGTATCTGCCGTGAAGAGGAGGAACTCGTTGAATTATTCATGCGGCGTTTATGACGGAATCTTTTTTCTTTTTTTTCTTCTTTTTTTCTTTTTGTTAGATTAAAAGTGTGAAAGAGAGAGAGAGAGAGAGAGAATGAAACAGAGAGTGTATGAGAGAATAAGAGAGAGAGAGAGAGAGAGAGAAGTACGTAGAGTGAATGAGAGGGTCGCGCGAGTCTCGGGTAACCGTTCGCGCGCTTCGTTATAAATCATCGCATGACGTATGTACATACGTTAAGGAGCCAACTCAGATTTTCTTTCCATCCTTTTTTTCCTTTATTTTTCTTTTCTTTTTATTTTTTTCTTCCTCGAGCTCCTTCACTCGCGAAAGAAGAATCCTTTGCATATCGAAGAGCGATGCGACCATTCCGAGAAGACCGAAAAAGACACATATAGACATGCATACATATATATATATATATACATATATATATATATATATGTATGCATGTATGTATGTATGTATGCGTTCACAACCACCCATTATGAAAACACAGAAACACACATTATAGCGTCTTCGTGTTAACATGTATATTTCTTCTGTAAATAAATTATTCGTGATAATCGCTGCGAGTGATGCGACACATATTTTAATTATTACGTTTGATTATTACCAAACCGAGTTATAATATCCTCGGCCTAGCGATCGACACGACTGTCTTACAATTGATATAGATTTATTATTATTAAGTAAAATATTAATGTAGTAAGATTAGTAGTACATGCTCGTTGATTTATCGTGAAACGTTTCGTTGTAAGCCGATCTCTCGAGATAAATCGTAGGTGATAAGGGAGTATCGATTTTACACGAAGGAGGAGATCGATTTAAATGAACGAGCTACGCGATAAGGTGTGTTACATAAAAGATTCCCGTGAGTGAGAGGAGAACCCGAGGAATCGATCTTGTAACAGCATGGATATAAACGAAAATAGTCGGCGAACGTAACGATCAACATCAAGAAACATGTTTATTCGATCTATAATATGAGTTAAAGAAAGGATTCAACTAGGAGCGAACGAACATAAGTAAATTTTTACCTTTCATGCGAAATAACACGTTCACGTGTCTCGTTCAACAATTCGCACGTATGATCGCAATAAAGGCCGTGCAAAGATAACAATAGACGAGCTTTTGTTGTTACTACGAATATTTCCCTACATTTGTATCATAATCGAGAATTAATTCTTTCATTATGAAACTTTCAAAAGCATCGGATTCGTTCTGATAATAAACATGTAAAACGTAAACATGTAAAACGATAATCCTAACGTTGATAAGAAAGGTTATGAAATTAAAAAAAAAAAACAAAAAAAAGAAAAAAAAAAACAAGAAAAAAACAAAAAAAAACAAGAAAAAAAACAAAAAAAAACCAGAAAAAAAAAACAAAAAAATAACAATGAATTTATTATTTATAATTACAAACAAGAATACCACAAGATCTGTCTATAATATACAATTTGAAGATTTTCCTTGTAAAATCAAGAGATCATCGTTAATCGGCGTATCATTTTCTCACCAGCCGTTTCCCTTCTCCCCTTTATCTTTTAGATCTAGTCTATCGAGCTAGTAAATTGCTACACGCGTGTCGTGCATGCGATACACCGTGCAAGGGTTATACGACGAAGATACGCGAAAGACGATGGATTGGACTCTCGTCACACGCTTGACACGAGCCAATAATTACGTAAATAACGAACACGGGTATTATATATCAAAATTTGATGGAACATCGAAGTCAAACAAGATTATTCGTACAAGCGATTACATATTTTCATTTTACGCTACATTTGTTTCTCCTTTCAATATTTCAATATTTTAAGAAAACAAAATTATGAAGCCACGTTTTAATAATGAAATTATTATACGATAAGGTAATGATTATTTGAAGGCGGCTGAAAGTGCTTTTCAAAATCGAATGACTTTCGATCCGTGATAGGTCCTCGTTAAAAAGGAATTGGTTCTTAAAAAAAAAAAAAAAAAAAAAAAAAAAAAAAAAAAAAAAAAAAAGAAAAAAAAATAAAAAAAAGAAAGAGACTAACAACAACACTTGGCCGAGAAGTAAGTGAGAGAAGGTGAGTCAACACAACAGTTTAGATCCCCGAAACGCTCTGGAGCATGGAGGTGCCGATAATTGCTTAATTGACGTGGGCTCGTCGATAACCATCGGTAAGTGTATTAACTCGCTCAGGTTTACGTCGGCTATCCGAGTAAAGAAAGAGAGAAGTTTATATGAAAAGAGAATGAGAGAATGAGAGAAACGAGAAAAAGAGAAGTAGACGGACGGAGCGAGCCTCTCTGCTCGAATCGAGATACTCCAAAAGGTATTCGTGTATATGTGTGTGTATGTATATAATATACGTGAATGCGTCAGCCAAGGTGTCTTCTTTTCTCTCGGCGAACAAGGCCTCGTTGTAGAGAGGCGTTGGAACTCTGGCAAAGAGAGTCACGATCTCTCTCTCTCTCTCTCTCTCTCTCTCTCTCTCTCTCTCTCTCTCCCTCCCTCTTCCCCCTCCTCTCTCTCTTTCTCTCTCTCTTTCTGTCGTTCTCGCGATTTCGCTCTTAACCGATACAGCAGAAGATATTAGAGATGCGAGATAGCTTTATTAAAGGTGAGGCGATGCCAGCGAGAGACATCACCGAGTGCCGGTCGCTTTGATCACACGCATTATGGTGACTGTCCCCTCTCTCTCTCTCTCTCTCTCTCTCTCTCTCTCTCTCTCTCTCTCTCTCTCTCTCTCTCTCTCTCTTTCTCTCTTTCTCTCTTTCTCTTTTCCTCTTTACACCCTTCCGTTCCGAAAACTCAATCTCGTCGGACGAGACACCTTCCTGGCTTCGTTTTCAGTCCCCCATCGAGGATCTTTCCGATGATTGATGCTTTAGAATTCGTAATTAAATTAAATATTAAATTGAAATTTTTTTGTTTATCAAAAGTCGTACAATTTTTTCTTCTTCCTCTTCTTTCTCTCATTTTAAAAGATAACTCGTGTAAAATTGATCTATGATCGATAACGTTTTATTGGCCTAGTTCAATTATTTTTTCTTTTTTTTTTTTTTTCTTTTACTGAGATAGATTTCAATTTTATTTTGACGAAAATGGAAAAAGGAATAAATAAATAAATAAGTAAATAAATAAAATATCAAAGCCTTTTTGTGATTATCACGACGACGAATATTGGCCCACCTTATATAACAAAGCGAGACGATCGAATAGCGTCGATGACGCGAGGACAATAGGGGCCCGCGTGGACATAAATAGCAAGATCGGTTCCTCGGGCACGCCTCCGATTAAATTAGGAACGCTTCGCGTGGCAAAAAGCGATCGGAACGTTCTCGAGTGGGTGTCGGCGGCCGTGCGGAAGTTCAACACCAGGCTGACGAAGGTGTTGCGCCTCGATTGCGGCCGCGAGAAGTGATCCTTCGAGTCGGCCTCCATTACTACCACCTTTACCTCTTCCTCTTTCTATCATCTCGATTAAGAGTGATTAGTAGACTAAGTTAAAAGACTAACGACCAATATTCTATACATATTTTACGAATCTCGATACGATATCTAGGTGTATGTAGGTCTGTTCGTTTCTTTTTCCTTTTTTTCTATTTAATAAATATCTTATCAAGTCTGAAAATAATAAATATTCCCGATGTTTGAAAACATTTGATATAAATAAAGTTAATGAACAAAAAAGTTGGAAATAAAAAAAAAAAAAAAAAAGAAAAAGAAAAAAAGATAAATATAACTATTCGTTTGTATTAAATCTAATCTCTCTTCGCTTAAATAACACGAAAATGTCGATGAAAATAACAGGTGAGTGAGTGAAGGATCGAAAAAGGAACGATAATATAGACGATATTGTCAAGGGGAATCGAAAGCAAAGCGACTTTGTTACGGGTCAGAAACAGCCGTTCGATCCATACTCGAGGATCGTTTTTACGTGTCGATCACGGACAAAAGGATCATGATCCTCTCGCGTTAGAGATCGGGAACGTCGGCTTGCGAAAGCTGGCGACTTACACTACTCCTTCGCGCGTTTTCGATTCGTTCGTGGAACGATCGATGAGAGAGGGTTGTGTTGGAGATAGAGTGAGAGAGATAAAGAAAAAGAAAAAGAAGAAAGATATCGGACCATGTCTCTTCCTCTTTTCTCCTACGCGTCTTCGTTCGACTCACCATCGCCGAGTCATCGTGTAATGACGGTGCCGGCTGTCAGACCACGAGCGCACGATTCGAAGGCACGAAACGATCGCAACGGCGGCGGCGGCGGCGGCGGCGGCGGCGGCGGCGGCGGCGGCGGCGACGGCGGCGGCGGCGGCACCGCCTGAACGCTCGATATCTCGAACGTCATCTTTACAACTGGTGAACGTAAAGGTGAACGCAGCTTCTCGGAATCCTTGAGAGATCGATAGCGACGAAACGATATCGTTATCGTTAAATTCCTATAACGATTCAAAACACGATTAAATTAAAGGGATACGATAACGACGTTTGATTAAATCGAAATTGGAAATGAACGATTTTCTCACCTTAACTAACTCACGTGGATATCTTTATCTCTTTTTCTCTTTGAAATGTTTTAGGACATTCGATCGATATCGACGAAAGCACACGAGGCACGATAATATTTTCTAAAGGATACTTCGTTTTTTTTTATTATCTTTGATGTTTACCCACTGTGTTCGATATACGAAGAAAGAAAAAGAAGAAAGAAAAGAAAAAAAAAGAAAAAAGAAGAAAAAACAAAATCAGAAAGAAAGAAAGAAAAAAAGAATTACCTAATCTGAAAATTGAATGTTTCCAGAAGTAAGATAACGTTCGCGTTTTTGTGGAAACCTGTAATTTGCGAATTTAAAGTCTTTCTCTCTCTCTCTCTCTCTCTCTCTCTCTCTCTCTCTCTCTGTCTCTTTCTCTCTCGCTTCTTTTTTTTCATTTCCTTCTTTCTTTCTTTCTTCTTTCTTTCTTCTTTCTCTCTTCTTTCTCTAATTTTTTAAGATACGATCTACGAATATCGTTCGTACGATTTATATAATGGATATATACAAACGTATTAAAGTAGATCATTGACGATTATCGATAAAGATTTACAAGTGTTAATTACTATTCGATCGGGAGATTTTTCGTGAGGTGCCATCGTTCAGCGTGAAAAATATTAGATCACGGAGGAAGGTAAACCATAAGATCGGAATAGACTCAAAGACCATTACGACTGTTAGGAAACCAGCAATTTCCGAATTAGAACCAGTCACGGAACTCGAGATATACAGGTATCGGCCGCACAGGTGTGGCTTCTCGACAGTTTCGAATAATACAGGTGCGTGCAATCGAAAACAAATATTTGAAATTCTCTTTAATATTTATCATTGATTTTTTTTTTCCATTTCATGATCAGAGATAATATCTACGTCACAATCAATGAAAACGTATCGCGAGAATATATTTTTCTTTTGAGATACTCGAAAATGAAACTTTTTAAGGATGACGAATATCATTGGATCATAGATTTCATTTCAATTCTGTCGTTTATGAAATGCGCTGTAGAACTAGCGGAGATGCATAGTCACGGGCTACCTGGCTAGAACGAACAGTTGGAAGTTAACTCGGGCAGATCACGAGGTGCGAAGCCCCGACGGGTAGGCTGATCAAAACATCTTATTAGAAGGAACACTTATGTAAAAAAGGTGAGAAAATGTCCGAAGGGCTCTCAAATTGCATATCGGTTCTACGATCTTACGTCGTTACCTTCTTTCTTTCATATATCTATTTTACGAAACACGTTTTTCAAGATTGACATCGGCAAGGGAATTTCGTTTAATATTTAAACCAACGATCCGTTCGTTCTCTATCTCAATGCTTTTATCCAGTTAATTTGCGAAAGAAAATCAAAAGGAAGTAACGAGAACGAAAGGAAAATAGCTGACGGCGGCGTCGTCTCGCTCGAAAAGTTTTACACGTACCTGGTTACTAAAATTATAACGCGAACTGGCAGAACTTGAACGATAAGGGAAATTAATTACCAGCTTGAACGGAAGTTGCGAGTAACGTGAATCATGTTAGAACGTTCGTCGATCGTGCGGTGAAAGTCGAGTTCGATCACTTTAAAAGGAATATCGTATTCGATCGAGTCGACAGGCGATTATTCCGTGAAGGAATCAACGAACCTAAAAAGAAAATGGCGTCGATGCTAAGAGAAAGATTTCACCC